AACTGGAAATAACAAATGTTGGAGAGGCTGCGGGGAGATCGGAACTCTTATGCACTGCTGGGGGGAATGCAAAATGATACAACCATTTTGGAAAACGATATGGCCCTTCCTTAGAAAGCTAGAAATAGAAATACCATATGATCCAGCAATCCCACTTGTCTTAGTCATCTAGTGCCACTATAACAGAAATACCACAAGTGGATGTCTTTAACAAAGAGAAATTTATTCTCTCACAGTACAGTAGGCTACAAGTCCAAATTCAGGGCGTCAGCTCCAGGGGAACGCTTTCTCTGTAGGCTCTGGAGGAAGGTCCATGTCATCAATCTTTCCTTGGTCTGGGAGCTTCTCTGCACAGGAACCTCAAGTCCAAAGGACGTGCTCTGCTCCCAGCACTGCTTTCTTGGTGGTATGAGTTTCCCATGTCTCTCTGCTCGCTTCTCTCTTTTATGTCTCAAAAGAGATTGGATTAAGACACTATCTAATTTGTAGGCCTCATCAGTGTAACTGCCACTAATCCATCTTATTACATCATAGTGATAGAGTTTACTACACATAAGGAAATCACATCAGATTACAAAATGGTACATAATTATACAACACTGCGAATCATGACCCAGCCAAGTTGACAGATATTTTTGGGGGACACAGTTCAATCCATGACACCACTCTTAGGAATATATCCTAGAGAAATAAGAGCCATCACACAAACAGACATATGCACATTCATGTTCATTGCAGCATTGTTTGTAATAGCAAAAAGATGGAAACAACCTAGATGCCCATCAACAGATGGCTGGATAAACAAACTATGGTGCATACACATAATGGAGTATTATGCAATGATGAAGAACAATGATGAATCTGTGAAGCATCTCATAACATAGATAAATCTGGAGGGCATTATGCTCAGTGAAATAAGTCAATCACAAAAGGACAAATATTGTATGAGACCACTACTGTAAAAACTCATGACAAGGTTTGCACACAAAAAGAAACAATCTTTGATAGTTACATGGGAGGAGGGGGTGGGGGGGAGCACTAAATAGACGATAGTTAAGTGGTAACCTTGGTGAAAGGTAAGACAGTACACAATACTGGGGAAGCCAGCACAGTTTGTACAAGGCAAGGTCATGGAAGCTCCATAGACACATCCAAATTCCCTGAGGGACTGAATTGCTGGGCGGAGGGCTGTGGGGACCATGGTCTCGGGGAACATCTAGCTCAATTGGCATAACATAGTTTATAAAGACAATGTTCTACATTTTACCTTTGTGAATAGCATCTGGGGTCTTAAAAACCTGTAAGCAGACATTTCCACTGGTCTCACTTCTTCGGGAGCAAGGAAGAATGAAGAAAACAAGATACAAGGGAAAGATTAGTCCAGACAACTAATGGACCACAACTACCACGGCCTCCACCAGACTGAGTCCAGTACAACTAGATGGTGCCCAGCTACCACCACTGACTGCTCTGACAGGGATCACAACAGAGGGTCCCGGACAGAGCTAAAGAAAAATGTAGAACAAAATTCTGACACACAAAAAGTCCAGATTTACTGGCCTGACAGAGACTGGAGAAACCCTGAGAGTATGACCTCCGAACACCCTTTTTGCTCGGTAATGAATTCACTCCTGAGGTTCACCCTTCAGCCAAAGATTAGACAGGCCTATAAAACAAAACGAGACTAATGGGGCACAACAGCCCAAGGACAAGGGCAGGAGGGGACAGGAAACCTGGTAATAGGGAACCCAAGGTTGAGAAGAGAGAATGTTGACATGTCGTGAGGTTGTTAACCAATGTCATAAAGCAATGTGTGTACTAACTGTTCAACGAGAAACCGTTTGTTCTATAAACTTTCATCTAAAGTACAATAAAAAAATTTTTTTAAATTCTCATCTACAAAGAAAAATCAGTAGAAGATATCAGCACTTTTGAATTGATTAACCATGAAAAACAGCTTAGAAGAGTGCAGACAACATTATGAAAATAATTAAAAATAATAAAAACATATTGAAAAGACTCCATTCTTCAGAAAAGTATCAGTGGCATAGTTTTAGAAGTATGGCTAAGAAACAGATTAAAGTATATGAATATACAGCAAGGATAATTATTCAAAATTATTTTCCTTACTGTACATATATTTTTATGTTTTAGAAAAATATTTTTGAAAATAGTTTCAATAGAACAATTTTATAAATCCATCAGTATAATAAAAGTTTGTGAATAAAAAATATTCAAAAGTGAAATACTTTAAATTATTTTGATGCCCTTTTTTACTCTCAAATTTGTCCAGGTTTTGGTGAAGGTGCCCAGAATTCTGATGAAATATTCCATTATATACTGAGTGTTCTCATGAACAGTCAACAGAAAAGAGGAACCCAGATCTGCAAGAAGTGCTGATCCAGCCATTTTATGAGCTAGCTACAAAAAGAGAACTTGAACTTTGCTTCTTGTGGCTTTTACCTATTTTGCATTTCTGGCCCTAGAACAAGAGCCTGCCTAGCTCCTCCGCCCTGCCCTGGGTTTTCCCAGATTCCACTGTGACCTGTGTGGCTTTCGCTTCAGCTATTTGGACAAGTGTATGGGCCACTGATGTCTCCATCTTGAGTCTCCCCACACCATGTGAAGGCTCCTTATCTCATTTCCCTAGTTCGGCTGGAAAGAAGACTGGCAGGTGCACCTCTGGTATTCCCCCAGCCCCCTTCCTTCGGATGTATTTATTTAACAAACAGCTATATAGCTACTCCAAGAGCAGCCCCATCCTGAGTACTTTATAATTATCAACTCATTAAATCTTCATAACCATCCCATGAGGTAGTCATGGTTATTACTCCCATTTTGTTGTTGTTAGTTGCTGTGGAGTTAATTCCAACTCTGGGTGACCCCATGTGCGACAGAGTAGAACTGTGCTCCATAGGGTTTTCAAAGCTGTGACCTTTCGATAGCAGATTGCCAAGCCTATCTTCCGAGGTGCCTCTGGGTGGGTTCCAACCATCAGTCTTCTGGCTAGTAGTCCTGGAGCACTTAACTGTTGCAACACCCAGCGACTTCTTTACAGATGAGGAAACTGGCACAGAGAGCCTAAGAGACTTGCCTAAGGTCACACAGCTGGAAAATGCGACTCAAAGCAGGCAGTGTGGCTCCAGGTGTCTGTGATCTTATCCCGCACTCTGCTGTCCTTTGGGCCCAACTACACCCGGAGACCACTCCTCATTCCCAGCCCAGGTGCTAGCCTTTCGGATCTTACACTGAAGGGAGGGAAAAACAGAGTGAAGCAGGTCAGATGGCACCACCTGACGTTTTAGAAGCACCTCTCTGATTTCAATACCCAGCCCACCCAGAAACTTGGAGCCATTACGGCGCCCCCAGTGTCTGGTTCCCCCACCGCGGCCCCTGGCCCTCAACGCGCACGGGCCTCAAGAAGCGGTGCGGAGAGGACAGAGCACAGCCCGCAGGTGGCGACAGACCCGTCAGTCCCAGGAGGAGCAGGGCAGGACAGTCCCGGAGCCATCCGCACCTGCAGCATCTGCGCAGGACCGTGACGATGACTGTAGCTAACTAGAGGCAACCCTTTTCCCCAGCGGGACTGGTCCTCAGCTGGTGCGACCCCAAGCAGGTGCAGGGCGAGCGCGCTCGCTGGAACCTCGGCGCTCCCTCCCATTTCCGCCCCTTTTCTTCCTTCTTCGCTCTCTTAGGCGGCACAACGGATGGCCGGGTGGAGGACCGCAGAGCTAAGGTGACTCGAAGGAGGCGCCAAAATCTCCACTTAGGTGATGAGGGGAGCGCAGGCCGCGCGCTTGCTGGCCCTCAAGGACCGGAACCGATAGAGTGGGGCAGGCCCTTGGGGGAAACCCCCAGCCTTGCTTCCGGAAGGAGGACGCACTCTCGGGGCAATGGACCGTCAAGTGACACTCAGCGCGTTGGAGACGTCGGGGATCAACGCCTTCTGCAATTTACAATTCTCGTAGCTACGCCCTTCACTCGCTGCTAAAGGTTGTCAGAGGCTTTTCTAAACAGGCTCTGGAGGGGCATGTAACATCCCTCAGGTGCCTTGAGCTGTCAAGAAAGACAAATGGAGGCCAGAATCCAAGGGAAAGAGTGCACAGGATCGTCCAGCTACAGAGCTGGCTAGAGGCAGCGCTTCATCCAGTAGGGGAAACTCCCCAGCGGAGGGCAAGCCCTCACAGGCACCTGCTACTTCCTGCCAGCTGAAGTCCTCCACCAGGCTCTGGCCAGGGACAAGGGATGGGGAAGTCGCCACCATGCCCAGCAACACGGGGCGGATGAGTGATGTCCGGTGTCTACAAACCTCCTCTTCAAGAAGCTCTAGATGCCCACATGGCAGGTGGGCAAGTCTGTGGAACCAGACATCCTGACTTAGCCCACTGTTTCTTCACATTGAAGGTCACTTGTCCACTCTTGTTGCCCATCTTTTTTTTATTGCTATGGGAGTCACCATTCGGATCTGACTGGTCACTCCTCCATCAGCTAGAGCAACATTTCACAAAATGGGTTCTGAGTAATACTAGTGTTCTGCAAGCTAGTACTACATTAAACAGATTTTGGGAAATGCTATCCTATACTGTACTCTTGCTATATATGGGCCACAGATTTGGTTCTATATTTCTGGTAGCCAATGACAAATGGGAAATGAAATTGGTTACACAATTTATCATGTCCAGAAAATCAGAACAAACAAGTAAGACAAGCACAACTCTTTTAGACTCTGAGACCAGAAATATACTTCCCTCCAGGATTTTCATAAAGAGAACACTATGAAGTAAAAATCAACATCCTTACTATAGACACAAAGACCTATTTTATATGGATGTTCCCTATAACAGCTCTCAAAAGAAAGAGAGAGCATAAGTCCAAAATGCAATCAGTCAAAGCAAACCCATGGGGAGCCTGTAAAATAAGATAAGAGTTTTAGCTCTCTGCTGGTCGCTCTAGAGCTTTGCTGTCCATGACAGTAGCCACTAGCCACAGGTGGCTACTGAGCATTCGAAAAGTGACTAGTCCAAACTGAGATATAAGTGTGAAATACATGCAAGACTTTGAAGACTTAGAAAGAAAAAAAATGTAAAATACCTCAATAATTTTATGTAGATTGCGCTTTGAAATGTTATTTTAGATACATCAGGTTAAATAAAAAATATTAATTTTACCAGTTTCTTTCTAGTTTTTACTTGGCCATTAAAAAATTTAGGGTCACATATGTTACTCAAATTATCTTTCTCTTGGACAGGGCTGCAGTGTTTCCTGAACTGTATACTATAAGATATGAATAAATATACATGAAAGAAGGGCTCCATAGTTCAAGAATTGGAGAAACACTGCCTACTATATCCCCTCCTAGGAGTGTTTTGCAGGATGGTAATATGAGAGCTTTGGAAAAAATTTCCTGCATTAAACATAATTGGGAAATGCCAGATTAAGCATAAAGGACTTCTCAGTACTCTCAATATAATGTGAATTATGATTTTCCAAGACAGGCATCTTATATGCAGCATTTCTCCAATATATTCAACCAGAGAACCGTCTTCATAATGAAGACCCATTAACACAATTCTGACAGAGAGTGTCATGGATTGAATTGTGTCCCCCCAAAATATCTGTCAACTTGGCTAGGTCATGATTCCCAGTATTGTATGATTGTTTACCATTTTATCATCTGATATGATTTTCCTATGTGTTGTAAATTCTATCACTATAAGATGGATTGGTGGCAGTTACATTGATGAGATCTATAAGATTAGATAGTGTCTTAAGCCAATCTCTTTTGAGATATAAAAGACAGAAGTGAGCAGAGAGACATGGGAAACTCATACCACCAAGAAAGCAGTGCCAGGAACAGAGAGCATCCTTTGGACCTGAGGTTTCTGTGCACAGAGAAGCTCCCACACCAAGGGAAGATTGATGACATGGACCTTCCTCCACAGCCTACAGAGAAAGCGTTCCCCTGAAGCTGATGCCCTGAGTTTGGACTTGTAGCCTACTGAACTGTGACAGAATAAATTTCTTTTTGTTAAAGCCATCCACTTCTGGTATTTCTGTTACAGCAGGTCTAGGTAACTAAGACAGACTGTTTAGGGAACACTGGCCTAGAGGATAAAGCTCAAAGGCTTTACTCTGGTGCATAAATCTCATCGTCCTCTGGTTGTGGTTTAGCTCTCAAGCCTTTTCTCTTGCCTTTCACTCCAACTAATATCTAGACTAGTATTGTCACCAATAAGGCCTCACCCAGACTTATGAATCAAACCCTTTGGGGCCACCTTTTTGTGTCAGTTAGCTTTTGCTCTCTAACCAACAGCCCAAAAATATAGTAGCTTAGAACAACAACAGTTTATTTAGCTCACAATTCTGCAGCCCAGCACTTTGGGCTGGGATTAGCTGCATATGCCTTGGCTGGGCCTACTCATGCATACAGATGCATACATATAGATCTGCTAGATGACTCTGCTTCTAGGGATTGCCTGGCTGTGAGCTAGGGCCACATGTTTCTCATCTTTCAGCAGACTAGCCCGTTTACTTGGCAGTCAACATTCCAAGAGTGTGAGAGCAAAAGCTCAGAACTTACACATTCTATTAGATAAGCAAGGACCCCTGGTGGCACAGTAGTTAAGCACTTGGCTGCTAGCCGAAAGATTGGTGGTTCAAATCCACTAGCCGCCCTACAAGAGAAAGATGTGGCAGTCTGCAGGTGTAAAAATTCCAAACTCATTGCTGTCCAGTTGATTCTAACACATAGTGATCCTATAGGACTGAGTAGAACTGCCCCACAGGGTTTCCAAGGGTATAATCTTTCCAAAGCACACTGCCACACCTTTCTCCTGTGCCATAAAGATTACAGCCTTGGAAAGCCTGTGGGGCAGTTCTACTCTGTCCTATAGGGTCGCTATGAGTTGGAATCAACTTCATGGCAATGGGTTATTAGTTAAGCAAGTAACAAGGCCAGCTCAGATTGAAGGGGTGGAAAAAGACACTCCACCTCTTGACGTAAGAAGCTAAAAAGTATTATGGCCATTTTTACAATCTTCCACATTTGTCCTGTAGTCCCATTTTCCAGAATAATCCTATTTCTTGTGTTTTACATACACAGAAGCACATTCTTTTGTACCTTGCTTTCTTTCACTTTCTCAGATAGCTTCCCATCTTATCAACATATCCGAGATACTTTATTCTTTTTAATGGTAACTCTTTCCATTATTACTTTGCTGGACTTCCTTGGCTCCTGTGTCTCTCCATTGTTTTTACTCTACCTCATTATTAAGTGTTGGATATGCTGGAACAATCATCTCCAATTTTTTAAAAAATTTTCTCCACCTGTCTCTGATCGTCTGTTTCCTTTGGAATTCATAAATCCAAATGCATTGCTGCCCGCTTCTCAAGCTGGATTCCTCTTCTACTTGCTTTAATAGTTACTCTGAATTAGCTTCTCCTAGAGCACTTAATTCACCACATCATAATTTTCTATTTGTTTATCTGTCTTCACCAATGATGGTGAGCTCTGTGTCTTATTTACTCATATAGCTAAGCAACCACACAGTTCCTAACACATTGTTAAATGAATGAACATTAATGAATGAATAGTTTGATACAGGTGCACTGCCATGATATTTACTGCAAGCAACAGCATCTGACTATAAGTTTACATAGGACAGGGACTATGCCTTTTACTGGAAGGATGCCTCCTTTCAATACCTCCTACCTGGTTGGTTTTCAAAGGAAGTATCCTTCCAGTAAAAGGTGAGTCACAGGCTGGAAGGAAGAAAGGGAAGAGGCATAGTTCCTGTCCCCTATAACCTTGTAGTCAGATGCTGTTGTCTGCAGTAAATATCATGGCAGTACACCTGTATCAAACTATTCATTCATTAATGTTCGTTCGTTTATTTAACAATTACCTAATGAATTCCTATCTTGTATTAGGAACCATGTGGGTGCTCCTACTTGGTTTCCTGAGGAGCCCTGGTGGTGAGGTGGTTAAAGCACTCTGCTGCTAATTGAAAGGTTGGCAGTCCAAACCCACTAGCCACTCTGAAGGAGAAAGATGTGGCAGTTTGCTTTCGTAAAGATTGTCTTTGTTGTTGTTAGATGCCATTGAGTCAGTTCCAACTCATAGTGATCCTATAGTACCACAGAATGAAACACTGTCCAGTCCTGTGCCATCCTCACAATCGTTGTTATATTTGAGCTCACTGCTGCAGCCACTGCATTAATCCATCTCATCAAGGGTCTTCCTCTTTTTCACTCACCCTCTACTTTACCAAGCGTGATGTCTTTTTCCAGGGACTGGTCCCTCCTGATAACATGTCCAATGTATGTGAGATAAGTTTTGCCACCCTGGCTACCAAGGAGCATTCTGGCTGTATTTCTTCCAAGACAGACTTGTTCGTTCTTCTGGCAGTGTATGGTATATTCAATAATCTTCACCAACACCATAATTCAAAGGCATCAATTCTTCTTTGGTCTTTCTTATTCATTGTCTAGCTTTCACATGCATATGAGGCAATTGAAAATGCCATGGCTTGGGTCAGGTGCACCTTAATCCTCAAACTGACATCTTTGCTTTTTAACACTTTAAAGAGGTCTCTTGCAGCAGATTTGCCCAGCGCAATGCGTCATTTGATTTCCTGACTGCTGCTTCCTTGGGCGTTGATTGTGGATCCAAGTAAAATGAAATCCGTGACAATTTCAGTCTTTTCTCCATTTATCATGATGTTGCTTATTATTCCAGTTGCAGGGATTTTTGTTTTCTTATGTTGAGGTGCAATCCATACTGAAGGCTGTCGTCTTTGAGCTTCATCAGTAAGTGCTTACAGCAAGCAAGGTTGTGCCATCTGCATATTGCAGGTTGTTAATGAGTCTTCCACCAATTCTGATGCCATATTTTTCTTCATATAGTCCAACTTCTCGGATTATTTGCTCAGCATACAGATTCAAATGATGTAACCCTGACGCACATCTTTCTTGACTTGAAACTATGCAGTG